TTGTCAGGCAAGCGCTCTGTGGTCATATTTTTATCCTTATTGTTCACTGTCTTTATTTTTTTCTAATATCTCTTTCTTAATGGTAGTTCTGCTATCTTTTTAAACCAATGATTATTTAGAGGAACATTTTTATGTTTCAGGTATTTGAAGATTTCATTCATATTTTTATTATTAATGTATTAGGATTACTGAGCTATAAGAGGTTACGGCACCAATGAATATACAGTAAACTTTTGTGTGATTTTAACTTCAAGATATACTAATTTTTTTTTTTTTTTTTTCACGGAACCAGGGATTAAACTCAGGACTTTGCACTTGCCAGGGAAGCGCTTATTCTACTGAGCCATCTCCCTGGCCCTAGCATATACTAATTTTTATATACTGAATTACCATCATTCTTCATGGATCATTTCGTGAGTTAAAGTACTTTTCCATCATAATTTAGATGAGGCTTCCTTAAAATAAAATGACACTCTACAATGTTCTTTATCTTCCCAATAGGTAAATCAATCTATTTTTCCCTTGCTGCTCTTCCATAACTACTGAGTATGCCAAAAACAATACATACATACTTCAAGAAGAGAAAAACAATATGAGAGGCCATGGAGATAGCTCAACAGTCTAAGAGCCCGCCTAGGCAAGTGCAAGGACAGGGGTTTGAACCCTGACACTGATACTACATGTAGTGCCAACCCCACCCCAGGTATGCTGAGCCAGCCACATGATGCACACCTGTAATCTCAGCACTGGGCTGGCTGAAACAGGGGGATGGATGACTATGAGTCCAAGCTGCACAGTGAGACACTATACCAAATACACAAAATTTAAAAAAAAAAAAAAAAAAATAGCATGATATTTTTTTCAACAGACAGCGTTACTCTCATATGAGGGAACCTAGAAGATCTCATATATCATAGAAAACCCACTATACTGCCAGCCATTAAAGAATAAATTGAAAATGCATGTGCAGTAATTTCAATGACCAAGGTTATATAAGCAGCAGTTCATCATACTAATAGATGTCTAGAACCTAAT